ATCTGGTAAATTTAAAAGACTAAGATTAATTTTATCAATGTAAAATTGCACTATAAGGAGTGATCTTGTCTCAGGTTGATAGATTTAAATGTGACTTTTTTAGCATCTAAAGCCTGGAATTACCCATACTTTTAGAGCTTCTGTAAGGATCCCTGGTGGTGCTATTAAGTTTGTGTTGGACTGATGACTGTAAGGTTGGGGCATTAAAAACCACCAGCTGCTCCTCAGGAGAAAGATGAAGCTACCTGTACCAGTAAAAATTTATAGTTTCAGAATCCCTAAAGAAGGTAGTTATGAGTTAGAATAATTTTAATTACAGTGGGTCACAGAGTTTCTATAAACATGTTTAAGGTAGTGATTTGAAGCCAATATTGTCAAAGTAACAAGCAATGATTATTTTTGGAGTTAAGGAAAACCAGTTTCTGGAACTTATAGTTAAGTCTTTTACCTCAAAAGACAAGGATTTGCATGCTTTAAGCCACATAAATTCAGACCATGTAGTTCTTCCTGAGAACCTATGGTCTAAGGTAATAAGGACTGCAAAATAACAGCTCTAAAATACCATTGTGTTAGTCAAAACTTTTGTCATCTCTCTTGGTTGTTTTAGTGTCTTTATTCATCAAACATTTATTGAGCAGCTAGCATCTGCCTCTTGCTGAAGAGTGATATAAAAGACATAATATTGCTGCCGGGAATGCCCAGATTGACGAGGGTCAGCAGTCAGCTACGCATCCAAATAGAGCAAGGAGTCAGAAAGGGCTTTCTGCGGAGGGGACATTAGCGCTCAATTATGAAAGATGGTCAGGAATCATCCAGATGGAGATCTGGGAACAATGCTCCAAGTAGAAGTAATGATGATGTGTTGGGGGTGTCTTGAGGTTTGAGGTGGAGAGCACCTGGGAGACCTGCAGTGTGCTCACTATCAGGATATTGCTATTCTTCATCTCTGTATTATTTGGAGCCTGTTTTTTTTTTAAGCTTAAGGAATGTGACCTTTGTATTAAAACCCAAACATTAATTCTGCTTAAAATGTTACTATATTTACCTCAAAGATATGATTGATAAAATGGATTTCCTTGAAAGAGAATCTCTACCACTGAAAGCATTCAAAAACAGACTAGATTTACCAGACTTGTTATTTTAGGGAAGATTGTAAAATTCTTATTAAAACACAATTGCAGAAATGTTGTCCTCTCAGTAGTCCATTGTTTTATAAACTAAGCCTTGTCTCTCCTCTATCTGTAATCCTTTTTTTCTCCTCTCTTCCCATGCTTCTTGAGAGATTCATTTGCACATGCTATCTCTATGTCCACACTGAATATCAATATAACATAATACAAAAAAGTATATAAATATATCTCAAATGATTTTTATGAAGTGAGCCCATATATCCATGTAAACACCCCAAGGTCAAGGAATGAACATTAAGAGGACCTTAGAAGTTCTTTTTGTTCCCTCTGCTAGTTAGTATTTCCTCCCCTAACGATCATTGCTTTGACTTTGCTCATATCAAAAGTAACTCTTCCTAACATGTATCACCATCAGTTAGTATTGCTCGTTTTTAAACTTTACATAAATAGAACAATACAGTATGTTCTTGCAGGTCTGGCTTTTTTAGTTCAATGTTAGATTCATCCATGTTGCAACTATGCGTAGATTTTTCATTCACTCTGCTGTGCTCATTGTTTGCTCTATTTCAGTTTACTGTTGGTAGACATTTGGCTTGTTTACAGGCTGGGCTTCTATATGAACACTGCTGTTAGGAACATTCTTATGTATCTCATTTAGTTCACATCTTGTCTTATATGTTTCTGTTAAACATATTCCTAGAGTAGGCCTGCTGGGTTATAGGGAAAACATGTTTGGCTTTAGTAGACATTATTAAAACAGTTTTCAAAGTAGTTTTACCAGTTTATACTCCTTCCAGCAGTCAATGAGAACTCCCTCTATATTTTATCTTCACATGCACTGGTACTGTAACTTATTGCATTTTGATTTCTTCTCTTAAACCTCTGCTGAACTGTCCTTGCCAAGTGTAACAATTTTTAATCCATCCCCATCCACTGTTGGTGTACCCCCTGTATGTTTTAAAAAATTATCATTGACATATAATTCACACATTATACAATTCAGTCATTCATGTACTCATTGCTGTTAGTTCCCTATTTCTCCCCAGTCTCCTTTGCCTTGCCTTTAGGAAACTACTAATCTAGTTACTGTCTATAGATTTACCTATCTTGGATTTCATATACAGAAAAAACATGCAAACTGGAACAAATATACAACAGGTCAAGAGGGAAATCAAATTATGACGTGTCATATTGTACCCTAACTGCATCGGCAGTAGCCCCTCTTGTAATGCACTCTATCTGATAGCAAGGCCATAATCAGTGGGAATTCACTGGAGGCTTGATTCAAGCAGGGACCATGCAAATGGACTCAGGGCTTATTTTGTAATCCACAGCCTTCTGTAAAACTGGGTGTTCAAAATTTAAGCTCTACTATTGTTGTCTTCTCCAGATTTGGATTTTATTATTTACAGTTCTTGGATATCACAGGCTGGTGTGCGTCTTCTGTGAAGACTTAGCTAATGTGTCACTTAGATGGCTACTTGTTTTAAGATAAATCATTAAGAACTCAGATGCTGTTTTTTTCTGATACCTGGGCACCATACTATGCTATATCACCAGTATCTGCAGTGATGTATTCATGAAGGCAAGTAATGAACAGAGCCATTTCATAAGTGCAATAAGCATGGTTCTTAGATTAGGGCTACAATTTAGTACAGGCTCAAAATCCATTCCTGTATCTGTGGTTTATATATGTCCCTGGTTTACTTTAGTTTCATAATTATTATTTTATTGGAGAACATTATAAATCATCCCCATGGGGCATATGGTAATTCTATTGAGAGTATTATTATTTAGCCAATGTTATAGGATTTTAAACATTGTTGAAAAAAGGGAAATATACATGTATAGGCTAGTTTTTAGAACAAAATACATGGATTGTTGATTTCTACAGATTAAAAACTTAAGTGACTAGACGCTATTTACACAAACAATGAAGGTTGGAGATAAGGCAAAACTTTCAAAAAGAGTCTTTCACAAAAGTAAAACTATGCCTGCTGAACTAAGACATGTCATTTTGGACCATGTATCACACGTCAAAACTCAAACTCAAATCTGACTCATGGTGACTCTATAGGACAGAAAAGAACTGCCCCTGTGAGTTTCTGACGCTGTAATTCTTTATGGGAGTAGAAAGCCCTGTCTTTCTCCCAAGTTGTTGCTGGTGGTTTACGAACTGCTGACTTTGTGGATCATAGCCCAATGCATAACTACTACACCACCACAGCTCCTTAGAACAAATGAATTGATTGTTTACTATGTACCTCTTCTGTTGAAAACTAACACTATTTTTTAATCTGTTTTTTTTTTTAGTTCAGTGCCTAACACATGAAGTTATTCATTCGTTAGCTTAGATTAACGGCTGCGTTTCCTAGAGCTGCCATAACAAACTACCACAGAGTGGATGGCTTTAAAGAACAAATTTACCGCATATACTCGAGTATAAGCCAACCCAAATATCAGCCGAGGCACCCAATTTTACCACAAAAACTGCATAAAAATGTGATGAAAAACTCAGCTTGTACATGAGCATGTACGGTAATTGTCTCTCAGTTCTGCAGACCAGATGCCTAGAACCAGGACATAGTCTGTGTGTCTGCTTTCCTTGTCTTTTTTTCAGCTTCTGGTAGCTCTGAATGTTTCCTGACATTCCTTGGCTTGTAGACAAATTGTCTGTTGACCTTGAGGTTAACAACCAGCCTAATGAGCAACCCACTACACCCACCGCTAGGGCTCCTATTTTGTTTTTAAGTGATATTTATTAACACATATTTCTTCATCTTCTGAGATAATTGCAGGGGAGGAGATCCAGTTATCTAACAATAAGGTAGTTCCTACTCTGTCTTACTTTTTGTTGTGGTCATTGTCATCATCTAACAATCAAAGCAGTGTGTAAGCAAACATAAGATGGTAGTGTTCAAACACATTCCTTGAGCAGGGCCAATGGGATGATCACCCTCACTTCTGCTCTTCCTGATGGAAGGAGAGGAGGTGAGGCACCCTTCTCTTTTTTAGATGCTGTTTAAGTTGATTTCTGAACCTGTCAGCATAGGAAAGAGAGAGATTGGGAGAGGTTCCTGAGGTGCTAGTACTGTTATATTCCTTTGTGTTTGTTTTGATATTGGTCTATTTATGTTCTGTGTACTTTTCTGAATGTATCTTATACTTCAATGAAAATATCTTTTAACATGTTCAAGTTAGAACTGACTGTCTTTGAACACTTCCCTAGGGACTTGTGAGTAATGTTAATGGCAAGGTTCTTTTCAAGTGCCATTATTCTGTGTGGTCTATTATGGGTTGAGGAGCCCTGTCAGAATGGGCTGTACGTAGAGTCAGAGAAGAGTGGAAGGAGAGATTACTGTGGGCATAAGTACTCAGGGGAAATGTATGCATTCAGTACGTAGACTCTAACCATGAACCAGATGAGATACTATATGTAGAAAACCTGAAGTAGACCACAAGTTCAAGGAGAAAATAAAACTTGGGTGATGCCATTCTGTTTGTATATCTTTGCTAGTCTTCACAGAATAATAAAGATTTCAAGTGCTTTATTTTGCATTTGGCTTAAAGTTTTATATATATAACTAACTCTATGATGAAGATACTGCTGTTACAATATCCCATTTTATAGATGTGGAAACTGAGGTGCAGAGACATGTATTGCTCAAAGTCACGTAGCCAGGAAGTAGTGGAGTCTATTGCCTGGCTCCCTGTTTCTCTCAATATCATTGTGCCATGTGAAATTAAAGAATATTGAGAGAAATAAATATAGGCATTATTTGAAGATGGTACATGCATGATCCTCCTTCTGATATCCTGTTACTGATATGTTTTGAAGCTCAGTGTGAATGCTTTTTCTTCTTTTTACAGACATGGCTGGATTCTGCCAAAGAAGTAAAAAAGCAGATTCGTGGTAAGTGGTATATACCCTTTTATAGTTCTTTCTTTTGTTGAGTAGGTCAGAGGATTTCCTGCCATTTAATGGCATGAGTCATTTTAGAATCATAACTATTGTGTATGGCTTTAAAATTGAGATAAAGTTTTCTCCTGAATGGTGGAGATTCCTTAATAGAAAGATATAGCAACAAGGGCTCAAGTAAGAAGAAAATGTTTGGGAAATGATGGCAACAATTGTACAAGTGTGCTTAATATAATTGAATGATGGATTGTCATAAGATTTGTAACAGCCCCCCAATAAAATGATTTAAAAAAAAGAAAGAAAAAAAGCTATAGCAGAGGTAGGGCCTACTGATAAATAGGTCAGATCTTAATCAGTTCTTTTATAACTAGGCAAAGGTGGAAAAGATGGAGCAGCTGAGAATAACAGGAGGAAAACAACAGAGATGAAATGAGAAAAGGATTACGGAAGTCAGTTTTAATCATTAAAAAGCTCACTGCCATCGAGTTGATTCTAGCTCATAGTGACCCAATTGGACAAGTGGAACTTTCCCTGTGGGTTTTGAGACTCTAACTCTTTATAGAGTAGAAAGACTCATTTTCCTCCCTCAGAGTGCCTAGTGGTTTCAAACTGCCGACCTTGTTGTGAGCAGCTCAACTTGTAACCACAACGCCACCTGGTGATCAAAACCGTAGTCGTCTGCTGTTGGGAATTTAGTGCCCAAACCTTTTCTTTTTACATTGTTTTGTACTTTCTCCATGTTTTCTTCTCAGTAATTCTTTTTTTGTCCCTTTTCTACAACTTCCTCCAAATTGAAGAATAGGCAACTGTGGAAGAAGAAAAGAATGGAAGAATGAGAGTACCTTGCCAATAGTTCTGATTGTGGGTTAGGCCCTATTTTCCAGCCCTCCAGCATATATTAATGCTGCATATGCTCTTCAAACTGCTCCTCTAGAGTAAATATCTGTAGGTGGAGCAAAGAGTAGCTTAGAATTTACAGCTTTGGCTTAATGTGCTAGCTGAGGTGGGGAGATTTTATTTATTAATTTATTTTGACATCTTATATAGTATATAGTTATAAAATCACAACATAACTATTTTTCTGTTCCTTGTTTTCCCCACATCATGTCAGTATTTGCAGAAAATGCAAAAATCCTCATAACTGGATCAATAAACAATATAATGATAAACAGAAAAACATTGAAGTTATCAAGGATTTCATTTTACTTAGATTAGGATAGATCCTTTTTCTTTCTTATTTAAGGTACATGTCCTTTTTAGTTTAGTTTTCAGTAAGCTTCTAAGAAATATTATGATTATAATTCATCGTGATTAAACCCAAAGCAAGGAGCCCTAGTGGTTTAGTGAGCTATGTACTGGGCTGCTGGCTAAAAGGTCAGTAGTTCATAAGCACCAGATACTTTGCAGCAGAAAGGTGAGCCTTTCTATTCCTATAGAGATTTACAGTCTTGGTAGCCCACAGGGACAGTTGTACTCTGTCCTACAGCATCTCTGTGAGTTGGGATCGACTCAATGGCAATGAGCTTGCTCTTCTGTTTTTAAAGAAAAATTATTGCCATCAAATCAACTCTACTTCATAGTGACGCTATGTAGCATTTCCAAGGCTGTGAGTCTGTATGGAGGCGGAGCTCCTCACCTTTCTTCTTGGAACAGCTGGTTGATTTGCTCTGGAGCAGCTGGTGAGTGTACACTGCAGACCTTGTGGTTAGCAGTCCAACACTTAACCAGACCGTGTTACCAGGGCTCACCAAGATTAGGAAGCTTTAACTCTGCCAACAGAAGACAACTTTCATTTTTCATTGTGACTTAAAAGAAAACACTTTTGTAATGGTGAAGTGGTTTCCTTTAGACCTTGCTCAATACTGTTGTAACATTCTTAATACAGAAAAAAAAATTCGTTTCTCGAATCCAGCAGAAGAGTGTTTTGGGGGGAATGCTCGAGCTATTCAGGAGATGGACATGGGGGACCTCATGAATACTAAGAAGAGAAGGAGAGCAGAGCATATTCTTTGGACTTGTCCTGAAACCTCCTAGTTCCAGAACACAGAGAGCTGTAACACCAGAGATGGCAGAGTTGAATGACTGTAGCGGAAGCAGTAGAACCAGGAGGCTGTTGATAGTGAGTTTCCCAGTCCACAGAGCAAGAGGGATGAGCACTGCCAGGCAGGAGGTGTGTTGTCAGAGTGAAGTACCTCTGAGCATTTGTCAGCACAGGAGGTGTACTGACCCACAGAGTTAAGAGAGCTGAGCCCCTCCAGGCCAAGGCTTACTGACAGAGTCAGTTGCCTCTGACTACTTGTGGGACGAGCTAATGAATGTTGTAACCCTTGCCTAATAAGGGCAAAGGCCAGGCCAGCCCAGTGGGCCTCAGGCCCAGGACCCCAAGAACTGAAGGTCAGAGAGGCCTACTTGCATACATGGCTGTGATTAGGCCATTCTGATTGAAGAACTGTATCCCAAGTGTGTTCTGATTCTGAAGGACCCATAATCTTGAGTATTTTCTTTGACCATTGCCACATATTATTGAACCCAGCAGAGAAAATGGGAATGTTATGGGAGGGACAGATAGTGTCAGAATTGGTAAGAAAAGTTGGAGAGAAGTATGCCTTCACTCATAAGAATCAAAGTTGGGCTGATACTGATAATAATTGTCTTTACGAAGAAGTTAGAAGAGGTCTGATACCTATGCTACATAATTTTTAGAGCATGTATAAATGTATTTAGTCATATGTATACATATGTGTGTGCTGCATATGTAGTTATAGATATAAATTAAAGCACATAGTACAGTTCTTAATACCTTTTAGACAGAATCAAATACTTAATGGAAAATAGACTTTGTGGGACAACTTGGTCAACTGAGATAAAATAATTTTTAAAACTTAAGTTCTGTACCCTAGTTTGGTGAATAGTATCTGGGATATTAAAAGCTTGTGTGCTTCCAGCAAAGACTCAGCGATTGGTATCCATTCATTTGGAGCAAAAGGGGTAGGAGGAGACCAGAGACTCAAAGAAGAAACTCCTCTATAGGACTGATAGCCCACATGAACCACATCCTCATCTATCCTGAAGCTAGAAAACTAGATGGAAATCGGTTACCACACTCGAGCTCTGAGCAAGGACAAAATAGGTGGTTCCCAGAAAAAATGAGAGAATATTGTACAGCTAAATTCTTAATTCTTTTTTTTTAAAAAAAAGGATAGCAAGACTTTTCTCTTATACTTTGGACATGTTATCACGGGAGAGCAATCCCTGGGAAAGTACATCATGCTTGACACAGGGTCAGTGAAAAAGAGAAAGATGGATTTGCATATTGGCTACAACAATGGGCTCAAACATAACGATTGTCAGGATGGCTCAGGACCTAGCAGTGTTTTTATTCTGTTATATATAGGGTTGCTGTGAGTGGAGAAACCACCCAATGCACCTGACAACAACCCCCCCGCCCTTCATCAAGATAGTCAAACTGCTTCAATTATAATATAGACATTGTCAGTACTGGTGGCCCTTTTGGTAAGTGTTAGCCTGCTAATTTTAGGGTTGGTGGTTTAAATCCATTAGCTACTACACTGGAGAAAGATGAGGCTGTTTGCTTCAGTAAAGATGTGTCTCCATGGAAACCCTATAGGTAGCTCTGAGTTGGATCCATTCAAGGTCAGTGAGTTTTGGGTTTTGTCAGCTATTGTTGTCATTTATCAGCTATTAGCAATCTAGGAACCCTAGTGGCAAAGTGGTTATTGTGCATTGGGCTGCTAACTACAAGGTCAGCAGTTTGAAACCAGCAGCCACTTTTCAGGAGAAAGACAGGGCTGAGTGAGCAATAGTATTGGTATTTGGAAAAGAAACCCTGGACACAAGACAAAAAGTGATGTTTGACACAAATTTTAATGTTTAAATGTTTAAATAATGTTTGTATAAGATAGTAGAATTCAGTAATGACAAGCGTGGGCTTTGGAGTAAGAAAACCTTGGGTTCACGTTCCTAAGCCTCCGTTTTTTCTTATGTGAAATTAGTTAGTAACAGTCGTATCTACCTCCTTGGGTTGCTGAGAAGATTAAATGATTTAATGTATGTAAGATGGTTAGAATAATACCTGGCATGCAACAAATACTGAACAAAATGACATCTTAATACCATAAGCAAACGTACTTATTTCTGGCTGAAATCAGGCCTGATTCTCTGACAAATTGACAGTCATGCTAGTTTACATGAGAGAAAAATCCTGAGGGATAGCATACAGCTGGAAAAATTAAAATGTATCCTCCATTTAACCCTACTGATAATCTGCTTTTCATTGTGGATCCCAAAAATAAACATTTTTGTATGAGTCTTAGAATCAAAATCTTAAAGTTTTTGTATTTAAAATATTTTATGTTATAGTTTCTCAAAGTCACCTGTCTTATTTCTAACATAACTCTCCAAATCATACCCTTATCAATGGGGAGAATGATTTTGTTTATTTGATATAATTCTGAAAGAAAATAAAAATTTTAAAAATGCTAAAACCAAAAGAGAACACCTCGAATAATCTTCGAGGATCTAAAGTGCATATAAATTACTTTTTCAAAACCACTACTACAAATATGTTACCTGTAGGATGGTCTCTTTCATATGATATTGCCTATGCAGCTTTAATTCTCTGTAAACCAAACCATTGTATTAGGTGAAAAAAGGAGAGAGATCCTTTATCCCATAAGTGGTATCTAGGTAACTTTCTTCTTCTTTTTATTTTTTAATATCAAGAATGTTTTATTCCCCAAACACTAAAATTATTGAAAGATTCCAGAATCATTTAAAACAACACAACTAAACTATTTGGAGGTATTTCTAACAATCAGAAAGTTAGGTACAAACAAGACAGTTCATTTGTGTTTATTTTTACAGGTATCCCTTGGAATTTCACATTTAATGTAAAGTTTTATCCACCTGACCCAGCACAGTTAACAGAAGATATTACAAGGTAATGATTGAATTACTAGTTTAATATGTAATAAGTAATTCTCATTTTCATAACCTCTGAGAATTTCTGTATTCAGAATTTTTAGAAAAGTGTCAAGCTATTATATAGTTAACCCAAAATAGAAAGTTCTTGGTTATTTTAAAATAGGCTTGCCTATAAGTGAGCCTGAAAGCCTCAAGTATCTGTGACTTCCTGGAAGAAATTGGCAGGGGAATTAGCGCAGCTTATCTTGGGGGTTATTGCCAGGGCCTGGGCAGGGCTGCTGTAAACATACCACCCTGCAAAGCGCAAAACATACATATTGTGGCAAAAAACTTACAGCTGCTTTTAAATGTTATTATTATTTTTTGAAAATAAACATTCCTTTCCCTTAGGCTAGAAGCTTCAAGTAGTATTCAAGACAGCTAAAAATCTTTTATTTTTATTTCTTCCAACACCCCATTAAAGTGACTAACTAGGTACATAGTTTTCATGAACTGACTCTCAGTTAATTTTTTACTTCACTTAAATTATAAAATCGTGTACTCTTTTTCTAAAAAGTCTGCTTTTAAAAGCAGTGTACTTTTTAAAAACGTCTACTTTATCCCTTTAATGGTATTCTTTAAATGTCCATGAAAATGTTAATTAAAAATTAAGTGCTAATATATTAGTAAGAATAGAGTCCTATATATTTGTAGCCATAGCGTCTTGCATGGCGCCTTACACATAATAGGTGCTCCGTAAATATTGGTTAAGTGGGACTGTAAGTTGTCAAAAACCGGCTTTCTGATTATTTTTTTAATATATATTTTTCTTTTTATCGTTTGAGGTGAAATTGTTATTCATTAAAAACTGCAAGTCCATTTCCGTTTTATCTCGGGACTTCAGTTTCCCTATCTCTAAAGCAAGGGAGGTGACTAAATAAACTCTTAAAAGTCTTACTGTTTTAAGTTCTATGCATTTTTTTAATTTAACATAATACTGACAGATACCACAGTTTCCAATTTAAAAAATATTATTAATTGTCTAGTTATCCTTAGTACATTCTTGAAGTTGAGATGCCGTATCTCTGCCTGAAAATTTTTTAGTTATTTCCTTTTTATGGGTAATATTTGTTTCATAGTGTTACAACTTAATCTTCTTCCTTCACCCAGTTTTCTTATGTATAAAACAAAACAAATCCCTAAGAATCTTTGCAAACAAGATATTTTATGTTAGGGAAATTTCTGATTCTTGTGACTTGCATTGGTGTTTCTCTGAATTAAGCAACAACATATGAATGTAGTAACTAATTACAGATAGCAAAATGTGTTAACATACTTTATTCAACATCTTATGGTTAAAGTACACTATGATTCTAATTCATAGAGAAATCATCAATTTAGTCATACCTCCCAACTTCCCTGTTTGGTAAAACAGTCTGAATTGGTCAACTGAGACAGAATAAGTGTTTAAGGGTTAGAGGCCAGGATCCCATAGGTATGAACATTCTGGCAGAGAAAGTGTAGTACTCACCCCAGTTTGAGCAATTTAACACATAGGTGGAATTAGGCTTAGAAAGTGGCTGGGGATATACATGTAGAGAGTTGTATGCAGCCTAGCCCAAATGTCCATAGCCTGTAAATATGAGTCAGCAACGTCCTCTTTGTCTAAGAAGAACGATATGTACACATTGAGCACAGCAATGGCACAGAAAAAAACGAGGCTGGTTCCGGAGCCAGACAGCTTATTTTACTGCCTTCTGTTGAGCAAGCTGAGCCTTGGAGGCTGCCTCCTCATCTATTCATTGCACACATTTTTGGTGAAGATTAGATGAACTAATTTTGATATAGTACTTCATACACTAAGGGTTAGAATATCAATTTCTTTACATCCTTCAGTCTTTACTGATTTTTTCCCCTCTTCTTTCTTAAATTGCTTTTTGTTTAGAGTCCAACATGGTTACAGTATTTGTTCTCCTAATTTTTCCATGGAAAAAATTTAAAGCATACAGAAAGGAAGAAATACTAAATAAACACTCTTATACCCACTATCCACATTTAATAATTACTAGCATTTTGTTGTATTTACTTTTTAAAAATCTCTTTTTTCCCTTTCCCTGCTTTCTTCTCTCTCTCCCTTCCTGTTTCTCTTGCACATGTTGCTGCTACTGACATGGCTCCGTCTTTTCTCTCGGCTATAGATATTATTTATGTCTTCAGCTTCGGCAGGACATAGTTGCAGGACGTCTGCCTTGTTCCTTTGCAACCTTGGCATTGTTGGGTTCTTACACCATCCAGTCTGAGCTGGGAGACTACGACCCAGAACTCCATGGTGCCGATTATGTTAGTGATTTTAAACTGGCTCCAAATCAGACGAAGGAACTTGAGGAGAAGGTCATGGAACTGCATAAGTCATACAGGTGAGTATGGCTCCGGGGTGTGTTCTCTGTTTGTTCTGGCAATGATTTAAACCTTTGAACTGATATTAATTCACTGTGTGCCTCAGAGGGAGCATGATACAGTAGTCAACCTGATTCAATTGCATCCTCTGTTTGACTTTGGGCAAGTTATTTAAACTCTGAACTTCAATTTTCTCATCTGAGTAATGAAGTTTACAATGAAGGCTGTAAACAAAATAAGGTTATTTATGCAAAGCACTTAGCACACATGATAGGTATTCCATAAATTATCTGTTATTATGCTGAGTAGTATACCTGATTAATGTGCTTAGTTACTAACTAAAAGGTTGGTGGTTCGAGTCCACCCAGGGGTACCTCAGAATCTAGCTCTGCTCTAACAGACAGGGTCAGCATGAATCAGAATCAACTTTACAGAAACTTTTTTTTTAATACTTTATGAGGTACCTTGGGATCATTAGAGCAGAGGTGCTTAACTTGGAATTCATTTATCAATGGGTAGATTTTAGAGAGCCCATGAACTTTCTGAAGATCTTTTTAAATTTTCTCATGTAAATATGGGACAATATGCATTTTTCCAAGAAAAAGGGCCTGTAGCTTTTCTCAAATTCTAAAAAGGCCTGGGCTTCAAAAAACAGTTCGAAGCCCCTTGCCACAGAGGAAAACCATTGCTAATAAGCTAACATGATCATCAGTACTTTGTTTAACTGGGAGAGATAAGAGACATTTGTTCTGTTCACTTGGTTTCTGGTAATTCCTTCTTCCTCACTGAACTTACTTTATTTAGATTGACTTTATAGAACAAGCTAAAACTATTCAGAATGTTGGGCGCTGGATGAATGGCCAACGATTCAGTATTCATTCACTAATCCAAATGAGTCATTTTATTAACTTTATTGGCTATGCTACTTTCTTCACAGCAGTGGTTGGTAAGATTAGAGGTATCATACAGTGGTCAAGAGTGGTCAAGAGAAAAGGCTTGTCGTCGGACTGAACTGGGTTCAAATTCTGGCTCCACTTGTGACGTTGGACAATCACACAGCATCTCTGAGCCTTATGCTTCTTACATTGTTTGTATTATTGAGTATTATTGAGATCATTACTTCAGTAGAAACAGGATGATTGCTAGGATTATGAAAGATTATGTGAAAAAAAGATACAGGGAGCATATGTGAACATTTGTACACAACGCATAGTAAAGATTCAGTCATGTTAAACAAACTCATTGCCCTCCAGTTGATGCCAATTCATAGGACAGGTAGGACTGCCCCGTGAAGTTCCAAGACTAACTCTTTATGGGAGTAGAAAGCCCATGTTTCTTCCTTGCAACAGCTGGTGGTTTCGAACTGTAAGTTTTGAGTGGCTGACCTTGTGGTTTCCAACCGAAGTATAACCACTGTGCCATTAGGAATGTTAGTTTATATTAAAGTGCCAAAATAATTTTTTTTCTTCTTGCCAAACATCCCATTGTTAATGGAGTGATTTGCTACAATTAATAGTTGGATTTCATTAGCAACCTTAACATATTAATGTAAATGTCTGATCTTGGGTGTGAATTAGTACCCTGAGTGATGTTAGCATGCATTACCATCACCAAGCTCCTAAATGTCATACTGCTCAAAGAGAAATGCGAAGATGGAGAAATATTAAGAGTTAAAATTATCTTTAAAAAGATTTGGCATGGGATTAACAAATGTTTTGTATAATTGTTGAGCCATCTCTTTTCCCTTGCAGTGATTTCAATAGTATTACATAGATTGGGATACTGGGAAATAAGAGAGCTTTTAACTCAAGAAGCCTCAATTCTGGATACCTTATTTCCCCTGTATGCCTTACTCATGAGAGGTTTCAAATCAGAGCTGTTTAAAAACCCATGACACAACACAAGATACACAACACAAGACACAACAACAAAACAAAAACTCATGCCATCAAGTCTTTTGGACTCATAGCAACCATATAGGAGTGGGGAACTACACCTGTGGGCTTCAGAGACTGTAAATATTTATAGACATCAAAAGCCTTGTCTTTAATAGTAGTGTTTTAATAACCATTCAACTCTTTAGAATCACATTATTCATATTTCCACAGAAAATTGCTAAAGCTTCAGATTTGGGCCAAGACACTCGAATGCTCATGTTTGGGACCACTAAATACAAGAGGCTTCAAAAAGTTATTGAAAAAAATTCCATGATCTTTTCATGTTATTTTCTCATGAATGTTTTGAAGCCCCTCATTTACCATTTTCAACTTGTTGGTGATTGTAACCTAAAGATGTCTTACTATCTTTGGATACTTTAAAAATATTTAATTTTGAGTATTCTTAAATTTATGAAACAATTTAAGTAGTTTGATTTGACAGAATGGCAGAATTGTAGTAGAATACTCTTTATTTCTAGTAATTTTATAGTATCATCATCTTTGGGCAATCAGTAAAACAATAGAAGAAAACATTTTAATGCTGCCATGTAGTGCCACAGAAGAAAAATAGGTTTTTCTTTTTCCCACACAGAAGATAGTTCCAGTGGACAAATGGTGTCAGATTATGGTTGAGACCTTAATTTTCTCTCTGATTATTTTCTTAATGGTTATTTGACCATAATAACTTTGACCATAATAAAATCTCAGATTTGTGAGGACTTCATGTAGTTTTAACTGTCTCCCAATGTTTGACTGTCCTAAATAGTATTGTTACATCATTATCATCACTGTAGTAATTATAAGAGCCAATTATTATTCATCTATTACTGCATACTCTCCTTCAGTTTAAGAAAAGGCTTCCTTGACTCTTCTTAGAGGAGCCCTGGTAGCATAATGATTATGCTTTGGGCTGCTAATCACAAGTTTAGTAATTTGAAACCATTTGAAATTTGAAACCCTTAGCCAGAGTTAAAGCCAGGGCTTTCTACTCCATAGAGAGTTACAGTCACAGAAACTCCATAAAGAGTTACAGTCACAGAAACTCAAAGGGACAGTTGGACCCTGTCCTACAGGGTCACTATGAGTTGCCATAGACTTATGGCAGTGAGTTTATTATTATATGTCAAGATACTATGCTACACCCTTTATGGTAGAGTATCACAGTTAATCTCTGCTTTGAATTAGGCCAGCATTTCTCAAAGTGTGCCTTATAGACTCCCCAGTGAACCCTCAAGATTATTTCAAGGGGCCATGAGGCTAAAATAATCTTTCATAATAAGATGTTATTTGCCTTTTTCCTTTTTAAATGGGTGGAATATCATCAAACTGTGCAGTAAGTATAGTCTTCAACATGTGGTTGCATTCTAAATAAAATTTACTTCATATAAAAATTTCTTGAATAAAACAGGAAAAATGTTAAAACTGAAAATAATCTATTGAATTTTGACATTTCTGTTTAATATTCTATGTGATTAAATGAGCACGTATAAAGTTTTTCTGCTGCATATTTAAGAATTAGTTATCTTGAGGAAAAGCACTTGTGAAGTTGTTTGTGAGTTGAATTAGCTACTTTTTTCTTTCTTTTTTTATCATTTTTTGGGGGCTCATACAGCTCTTACCACAATCCATACATACATCCATTGTGTCAAGCACACTTGCACATCTGTTGCTAGCATCATTCTCAAAGCATTTTCTTTCTACTTGGGCCCTTGTTATCACCTCCTGATTTTGTTCCCTCCCTCCCCCACCCTCCCCCCTCATGAACCCTTGATAATTTATCAATTATTATTATTTTTTCATGTCTTACACTGACCGATGTCTCCATTAACTCCCCCCCTCCCACCTTTCCCTCACCTTCCTGGTATCGCTACTCTCATTATTGGTCCTGAGGTGTTTATCTCTCCTGGATTCTGTTTCCAGCTCTTATCTGTACCCATGTACATCCTCTGGTTTAGTTGGATTTGTAAGGTAGAATTGGGGTCATGATAGTTGGTGGGGGCGAAGCATTAAATAACCAGAGGAAAGTTGTATGTTTCATGTGTGCTATACTGCACCCTGACTGGCTTGTTTCTTCCTTGTGACTCTTCTGTAAGGGGATGTCCAATTGGGCTTTGGGTCTCCATACTGCACTCCCCCCTCATTCACATTGATAGGATTTTTTGTTCTGGGTCTGTGATGCCTGATACCTGATTCCATCAACACCTCATGATCACACAGGCCTGTGTGCTTCTTCCACGTGGACTTTGTTACTTTTCAGCTAGATGGCCACTTGTTTATCTTTACGACCCCAAACACTATATCTTTTGATAGCCCAGCACCATCAGCTTTCTTCACCACATTTGCTTATGTACCATTTTGTCTTCAGCGATCTTGTCAGGGAAGGTGAGCATCACAGAATGCCAGGTTTTTAGAACAATGTGTTCTTGTGTCGAGGGAATACTTGAGTCGAGGCCCAATGTCTGTCTGCTACCTTAATACTTAACATATAAATATATGTACATAGATCTAGTTCCCTGTCATTATATATAAATATATTTACATATGTACATGCCTATATTTAGACCTCTATAAATGCCCTTTGCCTCCTATTTCTTTCCTCTATTTCCTTTTACTTTCTTCTTGACCCACTATCAACTTTGGCCTTCATTTGGGTTTCAGTACTTCCTCTCGGCTACATTGCCCTTGACCAAGCCCTACCAGTCATCCTAACCCCTCCTTGCCATCGATTTTTAGATCACTTGTTGTTCCCTTGTTCCTGGTTTGGTTGACAACCCTCTTCCTTTTCCCTGCCTCTCCCTCTCCCATGTCCCCCTGAATCATGAATCCCATTGTTCTCTCCTCTGGATTGTTTATCCTGCCTATTGTATCTAGATAGAAATGTAGACACAATAATAAACGCAAAACAAAACAACAAAAGAAAATAAAAGCAAAACAACGACAAAAAAGAAAAGCCTATTAAATAGTTCCGGGTCTTTTTGTTGACCTTTGGGAGTGTTTTCTGGTTGAGTCTGATGGGATGCCATACCCTGCCCACAAAGTCTATTTTTTGTATTCCCCAGGGACTTCATTGCTTTTGCTCCCCT